CAAGATGAGTGGCCAGAAAATATCTTTCTAGGGAAAAGAAGAGATTGCAACATATATGTTGCAATCATGTTGCAGTCCTTAAAAAATACTTAAATACTGCAATAAGGTTGTAGTTATAGGTTGTGTGCATATAATGCAGTTCACACACTATAAGGCAGTTTGTGTACTTACCATTGAGCCTTTTATTTCAATAATTTACAGTCGGTACAAAAATAAATCAGTGTTTGCTTCCGTAATCTAATTACCATTACCACTATCATAGATCAGTGCTCAGCACAAAACGCTGCCATCAGTGACACTTTGACTGTTCACAGAAAGAAGTTAGATTAACTTTATTTACACACTCTCCTCCAAACAGCCTCAAAACAAGAGTACTAGATAGACGTATCATTAGAAGCAGCTGAAATAACTACACCAAAAGCACTTTGTTAGCAGCCAGAACAGACGACCTAATATGGAGCAGAAATTGAGCCTAGATTCATTTTTGAGTCATATGCCTCATAGACAAGATTATTCAAATGTTGTGTCTGACTGCCAAAGAGCTCTGCATGAAAATAATAATACCCTTGTGACAACCACTCTATCCCTGGCAGCAGCACAGCTTGTAACCTCTGATAATTATATTGAGAGCCCAACAGTAATGACAGCCCTCCAATGCCACAGAAAGAAAAGACTTTCCTCTTAAAGCAGCAGTGGTCAAACAGTAAATCCACTGCTTTCTGAAACGCACACATGAGATAATGCTTTGTGAAGCATGTGGTCACCACAGGCTATATCAGCTTGGAAACGACTGTCTGTCCCTCTCATTGGGCAGTACCTTGGGAAATGTGACTCTGCTGTGCGGTGTGGTTGGGATGTAGAAAGAGTAGGAAAGTAAAACAAACACTGCATATACTATAAAATGTCCTAACTCTGTAATACAACTATAGTTTTGCCTATAGTAGTGATCAAGTTTAATTTTTATTCATTCATAAGTGGAAAAAGTATTTTCTAGATGTCATTTTCCATGGTATGAAAGTAAAATATTGGTGGAAACAGTAAACATAAACCAAAATGCTGAGCGTAGTATTATAAACAGCCTCTCCCCCCTCATGTCACACACACGCCTCTGGTTGTTGGTGGGGCTTCCACATTAAAAATGACTGTGATAGTGGAGTTTGTACTTTATACCCTTGCAAACATGAGCAACGTGTTTTATCAACACAGAATGGGATATACACAGACAAGCATGGAGCTGCTGTTTCATTCTGGGTTTTGTTTGAACAGTTGCTAACCCACTTACTGTTCTCATTCTGCGAAAATTGAATTTTTAACAAACATATAATAGGTGCTAATCGTTGAACGATAGCTCATTATATGCAAAGGGGATTTAATTGGAGTCTTGTGCACACTGTAGCGGTAACTGTATTATGTCACTGAACCATAGTGTATTAGGATTTTCACAGTGTCAGAACATCCCAGCCTGCTGCTGCATTTTGGAAAATGGAAGACTACACAGGCCAAACATAATCCTTAAAGCCAGCCAAGTGGAAAGTCAATAAGGGAATTATGGAGATGATTGGCAATCTAATGATAACATCCAAACCCAACGTCAGAGGCTCCTGACTGCATCTAACAACCTTATAATCCCTCTGCACACGAAAGGCGTCCTTTCCCAATAATGTTTCCACCACTTTAGTTATAACAGATGGGGATGCTTTTCATTTATCCTTAATTCTCAATCACAGCAGTCACTGGAGGCTACTTTAATATTTGCTTAATGTTCACAAGGTGCATGTGAGATGCAGAAATAAAAAGGTGCCACATTTCCTGATGCTTGTGTCAATGGTGAACATGTAAGAGATGGCTTTATACAAGTTAATGAAAAAAAGTTTGATTTAAGACAAATAAAGGCATCCATTTCAAAGCACACAATTATAAATTTCTATAAAAGCACTGTAATTATTATTATTATTATTACTATTAGTAGTAGCAGTAGTAGGCTATTATTATCAATATTATTATCATCTTAAGTGCAATGCCTCAGAGTCTAGACTGAGTCTGGGTCAAGTGAACTCTTACCAGAGGACAGAGATGAACCTGAGAGGCTTGAGTTACTGGATGCTGCCATCCCAACCCGTTTCACGGCTCGGTTACTCCCGTTTGGCCAAGGTGCGCTCCCAGCAGCTCGTCCCCGGTGGTGCCTCCATTTCACTCACGTCCCAATGTGCTTCACCTTTGACGGCTGCACCGGGGACTATTTCACGTCTCGTCTCGCCCCGAGCCCACCACCCGTCTGTCTGAATCCGCGGATCCTTCCCCTCCCGCTCGCTGTGCGCCTTGGTGGGGAGCTCACGCTGCCGCATACACCGTGGGTGCTACTGCCACAGATAAAAATAGTCTGACAAGCTACAGGATCGTGTACGTGGATCAGTTTCCTCAAAGCAGTTTCCTCATACTGGACAGACAGAATCTGTAGGTCTAGATTCTTGTGCCATGCAGAAATCAGATGTGGTTTCCATGTGCCACTTTAAGGATTGTAATAAACACACTACACTGCAGCGTAGACGCGCCTTCTTAAAGTGGAAGTTTGGAGCAGGGTTGCCAGATGTAAGCAATCCCGATTTACAAAAGAAGCCCCAAACAACCGACTAGTTATGTAGGCCTATGCAAAATCCAAAACAGACGTTACTTTTTTTCTTGAGTCCCACAGTTCAATGAGGTTCATGCAAACAAAGCCCAATTGGCCAAACCACATTACTCCAGCCTTGGCTTTGCATTTTTTCATCAGATGTCATGTTATGTCATGTTAAGTTGAAAGCGTCAGACTGAATCCCTGTGTTTTCTGCGCCATCTGGTGGGCTTCCCCCTTTCCCATGAGATGGCAGACAAAAGAAAAAGATGAATGTAGCGTCTGTGGCTTTAATCTACAGATTCTGAAGGGAAGCTTTGAAGCCAAGAGTTCTCCACAACTCCAAATGTATGATCTCTTGCTTCCTTCACTGTACGTCTTCCTCATGGCCCTCCAAGGAAGAGGTGCAAGGAGGGAAGACAGAATTTGGATTGGATTGGATATTTTGATTTTTTTTGGCAGATATTACAATTGCGATGAGTCATTATTTCTGTTGGAATGGTACTTTTTTGCATTTAATTTTCACTGAATAAAATATAAAAATGATGATGTAATTTTTTGTTGCGTTTGAACTAAACAAGCATGGTCCCTTATGTCATCTCTGTAGCACCACAATGCTTCACTTATGGTATGTTGGGACACATTTTACCTTTATCAAAAAAACTGCAACTCTTGCGATTGCGATAATATTTACATTAATTGTTCAGCCCTACTGGAGTGGCAGGATAAATCTGCACAGCACTCCCTTTTCTGATCCCCTTGAATACTCCGGTTCAGATGTTCACTGGCCAACAGTTAAGACTGTGGTTGTACTGGGCAGCTTCCAGATCAGAATGAGTGTAGCAACTGTACACGGTAAACAGTAAATGAACTGCATTTATATAGCAGTTTTCTAGTCTATCAACCACTCAAAGTGCTCACACACTGATGGTGCAGCATCAGGAGCAGTTAGGGGATCTTGTGTCTTGGACACTTCAACATGTGTATGTCAACCCTGCAGCATGGCTGAGTGTGGTAGTCTGAAATAGCTGTCAATCAATGTAAAACTGCCTCAAAATATACCTATCCTCTGGCCTTACTGGCTTCTTTAAGTAACACTACGTATTAAAACTGCTACCAAGACTTTAGAACAAGGGAAATCCCCTATTAATACCCTACCCAGCTTTGTAAACAGCAGACAATTGGGATACAGCCCCCATCTCCGCACCTGTTCACCTGAGCTGTCACATCACAGTCCACAGTTTTTTTCCCAGCTGTGAGTGCCGTCTTCCCTTCATGTCTGTCAACTACACAAGTAACTTGAGATAGATGATTTTATATAGATACTAATATACCAGAGTTGCCCACTAGTGGTCAGATATGAATAACTGCAGCTTTAAAAAATCCCAGAATGTTAGGTGCTGTTTGACACACTGTATTTTGACGTGTCTTAGCAGGACACACACAGGTGTAATTAATCACATAAATAACGAATGCTCTACTTATGTCGCAGTTACAAGCCCTGGTTGTTGTGAAGGTGTTTTTTTTCACAGAAAACATTTCACATGTGACAGCAGGAAAAGCACATGGGTAAAGAATAAAATGACTGATGAATGATTAGTTGCTTCCAGGGTCCTGTAGTGGCTTACTGGAACAACTGAAGAGAACAGAGCCATTGTTAGGCTAATTTAGAACAGCTCTTTCCTTGTCTGATGTGGAAAGGCCTATTAGCTAAATAGGGCACATAATTAAACGGAGACATCATCAGTGTAATTAGTAACACCTGTGGTTTTCCTGCTAAGACAAGTGCAAATATCTGACATGACAATATTAATATATGACATTTAATAGCAATAAAAATGTATCACCAGAGCTTTCACTTCACTTTTATGTTACTGCCATTACGAAGTCAATTATTTTTATTCGGCCTATTTAATATGCTTCATTTTGTCATGGTGTTATTGTGAATAAGACACACTGTGCAGGGTAAAATATGCCTTCAAGAAAGCCAAAGTAACATTTTGTACATGTAAATTGGTGAATTGTGAAATGATAAGTATGTTACAGGCACCAAATGCTAACCTTCACATCTCCCATGTTTCTTAATAGTCAGCTTTGCAACCCATTTGGTTGTCTTCTCACTATGCTCGACAACACCTAGCTGAAAACAACCTTGACTGAAACTTATAGGTTTGTAGGAGAACAGTTCACTCACCAAGTCAGACTTAAAATACTTGGAAATTGGTTTGTTTTCATCGGCGGGATTAGCAAAAACCACAGTCATCTTTCCACGTAAGGTACTTAGCTAAAACACCGGGAGTACCCTGCAAGACCGCGCCGAGGGTTAAAATTTCTACTGTAGCTTAACAACAATCACGTGATGCAGTATCTCACATGATTGACTCAGAACTGATCACGTGACCGGCTCACACATTTAAGTCATTCCACAGCTGACCAACGAGTAAATATATCTCCACACTGAACATGAGGTGAGTCTCAACAAATTAAAATGTTTTTTTTTCTCTCCTTTCTGCCCGCAGTCAGACATATGGTGTCACTGTGGTCAGACTGTTTTGAAATCTGAGTGACTTGCGGTGTTTAAGATTCACACTTCACTGGCCAGGCCTTGTATTCTGATATGCATTTTGTAAATACTGGCAGGCTGCTGAAGGAAACTCTGGGTTTCCTGCTACTCTGGGTCTGTCTGGACTCTGCACGCTCGAGGAGCTGCTCATCGTTTTTCTGCCGAAAATCTCATCGTGTCAGCGGCCTGAATGGAGTGGACCCCGGGTCACCTCTCTTTCTCACTCCTTACCTGGAGAAGGGTGCCATAGATGAAGGTAGAACAACACTCATTACAAAACACTACAATTATACTGCAGTCAGTATGGCTCACTGTAACATGCTCATAATTAACTCATTTCAGAGGCTGAAGTGTCTGCATGAATGTTAATGTGTTGACGTCTTGCTCTTCCAGCCAGGAAACTGAGTCTGGTAGGAGATCTGCCTGGTGCCAACGTCAAAAGCTACGCCGGGTACCTCACTGTCAACAAAAAGTACAACAGCAACCTCTTCTTTTGGTTCTTCCCTGCACTCATGGTAGGCTGAGACTTCTTCCTTACAACAGGGGCTTTCCATATCACAGAGTCACATTACTGTCAGTGTTGTTGCAATTTGGGAAACGATCAGAGCGAGGGGAAGACAAATTCTGGGACAATTTCTTGCACTTGTTTTTCTTTGGAACTCCAATTTATTGTACTTTCTCTATTTTAACTGTGCTCCCTCAGTCAACATGTGATAAGATATTGCACTGTGTGTATTTAGTCAGCTGCAGTACAGGAATGCATCTATCATGGCAGGATGTGTTTTTGTGTTGACTATCACATGTTTTTAACCAAGGTCTAACAGGAAGACTAAATATTATCCAAGCTATTTTTTAGAAACTTAAGGAACTTGCTCTGTATTTCATACCTCAGTGTAGTAAAGTCAAATGCCATTTCTACGACACACACGTTGTAACCTGCAGTTCAGACTATTACCTTTTTAACTCCCCCAAAAATAACTCTGGGTTCAGTCCAAGTCACTTGTGTTATACTAAGTTGTTTTCACATTATACTAGAGCTAATAAAATCCTTTATGTCAGCCTGAAATGTTAATGATCAACTATAAAGTGACAAAAGACGGATTGACATTGTGATTTGATTATTTGCCACATCTCTACAGTCTGATCTCTACCCTATTTTAATCTTTATTACTGTCACTGGTTAGGAAGAGTGATAATCGGTTTATTGAAGTGCAAATAAAGTGTGGTTAAATTTAAGCTTTAATTTTACCTTTGTTAATAAACAAAAGTCTCCACAAGGTGGAGCTGAGATCTCAATCCTTGTATCTGCACTGGCCTGTCTGACAGCCGAGCCAAGAGAACGCTCCAGTCCTGCTCTGGCTGCAAGGTGGACCCGGTGGCACCTCCATGTTCGGCCTGTTTGTGGAACATGGACCATATGTGGTTTATAAGAACTTGACTGGTAAGAACAGATTTGGTACAGTATCATATGTGAACATTGTAATCCAGATTGAATCTAATAATCTGGAGGTGTGTAAAACCTGTGATAGAGCATTATTTAGATTTTCTGACCTGTGTGTCTTTTCTGTCTCTGCAGTTGGTTTGAGGGACTATGCATGGACAACCAGATATTCAGTTTTGTACATTGACAATCCAGTATGTACTCTTTATTTATCCTCAGACCAAAACTACTTATATGAAATGTATCTTTCATTCAAGGTTTCTCAAATCATCATTTTTTTTATGTGCACAAACATTTCCTGAAAGATATTGAAGAAGAGTTTGTTTTGTAATTTTTTTCAGGTTGGAACAGGTTTCAGCTTCACAAATGATGACAGAGGTTTTGCCCAGGATCAGGATGACGTTGGCAGAGATCTGTACAGGTAAACACTACGGTCCAACTCATTCATTTTGTCACTTGGGCCTATTTAGATCTTATGTTTCATTGTTTACTGACTCTCTCCTACTGTCTCTTCCTTAAAAGTGCTCTAACACAGTTCTTCCAGATCTTTCCTGAGTATCAGGCCAATGAGTTCTATGCAACTGGAGAGGTAAAATGTTTCTATTTTTTTTTTTTTTTTTTTTTTTTTTTTTTTTTCTGTGTAATAGCATTAACTTGTACACATAATGGTAGAATGACTTAGATATGCCCAATGACTGTCTTATTCTCATTTACTTGTGTGTGTGTGTATTTATAATTATAATAAATTGTCCTCACTGTATAAACCTTTCTCTGTCTCTGTACAGTCTTATGCAGGGAAGTACGTTCCTGCCATTTCTTACTACATCCATAAAAACAACCCCACTGCCAAGGTGAAAATCAACTTTAAGGGGATGGCGATTGGTGATGGGCTCTGTGATCCAGAAATGGTGCGTATCTGACAGCGTGTCATTTTCTTTAAACTTACACCATCTTTGACTTTATGAATTCCCCAGGTGTCCAGATTGAACTTAATACTTTGTGGGACTTTCTCATCTTTCATCTAAAATATAGGTTTGACTTCTTTTCTATTCTAATCTCTGATCTCAGATGCTTGGTGGTTACGGTGAGTTCCTGTACCAAACAGGCATGATAGATGAACAGCAGAAGGAGTATGTTATAAAGCAGACAGACTACGGGGTTGAGCTCATCCAGCAGCAGAAGTGGGTGGAGGCTTTCCAGGTAACAGCTGTTATTTGGTTCTTATGTCTCTCAAAATACAAGTTGAAACTCTTACCCTCATTTCTATCATATCTTTCTGAAACAATTAAAGATGTGGATAAAATCTGACTGTGACTGAGGTGACATTTCTGTCTTCAGGTTTTCGATCGCTTGCTTAATGGTGACGTGGATCCATATCCTTCCTTCTTCCAAAATGCTACAGGCTGCACTAACTACTTCAACTACATGACATGTCAGGTACTGAGAACCACTAGCAGAGCTCGAGGCTGCGTCGTGTGACTTTCTTAGAGCAAGAACTTTTTTTTATTTTATTTTTTTTTATTTTTATTTTTTTTAAACTTTACACACAAATGAAACTGTTTCTTGTATTATTTATATAATTTGTGTGCACCACAGGAGCCTGAAGACCAGGAGTACTTCTCCCAGTTTGTGACTCTGCCAGCAGTGCGTCGTGCCATCCACGTGGGGAACCTGACGTTTCATGACGGCTCGGAGGTGGAGAAACACCTCGTGCAGGATGTCATGAAGAGCATCAAACCGTGGCTCGGGGTGCTGATGGACAACTACAGGGTGAGGGATGGAGAATTGTCCACTGCAGTTTTTTCTGTAACGCACAATAGATTCAGTCAGTTGGACTTATTTATCACTAATTATTATTTTTTTTGTGTAAATATTGTTTGAAATCACTATCATTCACATTATTGATCTCGAAATGTTTAGACCTTGAAGTGACTAATGTACTGTACTGTGTCCTTATTAAACCCCTTTTCCTTGTTTGGGCTCTTTTTCCTTATGTCCAGGTGTTGATCTACAGTGGACAGCTGGATGTAATTGTAGCTGCTCCTCTGACTGAGAGGTTCCTGCCAACCGTTAACTGGACCGGTGCTGCTGAGTACAAAACAGCCGCACGCTACCACTGGAAGGTTCAGCCCTCTGACACAGAGGTGGCAGGTTACGTCAGACAAGTCAAAGAGTTTTACCAGGTGAGCAGATATTCACGATCGTCGACAACAATGTGAAAAGTCCTCCACACATTTTACACTTTATTTTTTTATTTTTTTATTTTTTTAAATCTTTATTTATCTCTTCTCTTGTTACTCAGGTCGTCATCCGGGGAGGGGGACACATTCTGCCTTACGACCAACCCGCGAGGTCCTTTGACATGATTGACAGATTCCTTTCAACGCAAGGCTGGATATGAAATGTTCTAAAGTTGAAACGCAGCTGATCAAACCACCTTCACCCTTAAAGAGCATATTCTTCATAAGTGACTGATTTGAAAGACTGTTGATTGTCACATCCAATGTAAATCAGTGCATTTGCAGATTTGGTTCACATCTTTGCAGCTGATTTGTTTTTTTTTGTTTGTTTTTTTTAGCATTTTAGCAGAGGTGATATTTGGTTCAGGACTTTGGACTGTTCTCTAATGCTCTGCAAATAAGATAACTTCTCTTCACCTGGATTCAGACCTCTGAATCGTTGCCTACATTTAAGAATTTGACTTAACACAGTAAAAATCAAATGAAAACTAAATGGCAATCTGATTATCAGGCCTGATGTCTATGAAAATCATTCTTGTTTATTGTTGTTGGCGGCATCGTGTGAGGGGAAATATAGCTTATGTTGCAATCAGTCAGTGCAGGCTTGAAGATCAAATGTAAAGAAAAAAAACCTTGAAACTGAAAAAATGACTTGAAGTAAAATGTTGTTTTTTTGTTGTTGTTGTAAATCTGAATGTTTTAATGTTCAGAGAAGACTGCAATTCATTTTGGAGTCATTTCGCCTTTTGTAACTGACTTCTGCAACACTTGATTTTCCTCTCTTTAAGTACTGTCTGGTCAAGCACCAAAATGTACACCAGGGGTCACTGTGCTACAAAGAAACTCAGTTGCATACCCAGAAACTCAAAAACAATAACACTGCAAAATTACCCTAGTCACTTAATGTACTTTAATGAATACGTTTATACCATGAGATCTCAGATTATCTGAAGTAGGGTTCTAAAAAAACCTAAAATGACTCAATATCACAGGAAACCATTAAGCCTGTTGCAGTAGCACATTCCCAAAACTTGCAACAATACACAAGGTGTGTTAATTTCATTGTCATAGCTAAAATTGAACTGGCATGCTGCAGGGTTTCTGTAGTGATTTGGCATTTTGACAGAATGCCACAAAGATGTTTGTGCACTGAAGTTAACTGCCATGTTATTTCATCAGGCAACTATCAAGCTGTCTAGACGGTTCAATAATTAATGAGTATTCTAAACCTTTAAAGCATCTAACTATTTAATGAGCAGTTATGTCTCAAGGACAAGCATCGGAAAATGCTGACGATCGTTTGATTTGAACATTAGTTTAATATTTCATGTCTCTTGGCTCATTTTTGCTCACCGCTTATCAACACAGGAAGAGACTGCTGTGAAATCACATCAGGTAGTTGTATGTTACAGAACAAGTGCTTTATTTTCATACCGTAATGTAACTGCAGTGACAACTTTAACATCTGTACAAATGCAAAACAAAACAAAATGGAGACAATGTCATTACAGACACAAAAATGTACAAAGTTATGCAGGTAAGAATGGATTCATCAGTTCATTACATATAAACAATTTATTTAAGCGCTGGAATGAGCCTCGACATACAACAAAAGGCAACAAGTGCTATGCAAACATTATTTACAAACATGTACCACACATCTACTCCCTTCAAAAAGAAAGGTGGTTGCATTACATGTACAGGATTACAGAAATGAATGACATTATGTACAATATTTATAGTTTTAGATTTAAAATAATACAGTTATAATTAATGTGTGGTAATTGTTCGCCACCTCTCACACAAACCCACACAGACACACTCACACTGCACTTCCATCTGTCCTTTTTGTCTGCCTCTACAGTAACAAATGTCTTTTTCTGAACCTGGATCAGCTGTCAAAAATGAAAATAGAGACCCTACAACAGCAACATCCTCCGAATGATTCCAGTTGAAAGTGTTTTGAGGTCATAACCATATTTTCACATGCAAGAGGTTAATTTGGAATGGTCTAATAATCGATATATGCTTTATAAAACAACCAAAGATAAGGCAAGCTTCAGTTCAAAGGGTTGGTACAACAAAGCCCTTTCCAAGAGAATCGCTTTTTTCTCCGTCTCATCAACACACATACTCTACTGCACACACAGACTCCACGGTTAAGACGTGGCATAAACAGTCCGAATGTATCAATAAAACTTGAATGTAAACCCATTGTGAGAATAAAAAGCATTTTTCAATTCACATCCTTAATCTTTGACAAAATTGGAGCTGGAGATTTGTTTTTTCCTCCAGAATAAAAAGGGCACAAAGTAAATGGTACAGGGTCCTTAACTGAGCCTCATTCAACAATACAAGCTCTAGGTTCCCTTCTTCTATCTATAGACATGTTATGCATGCCAGGCACAGTCTCTCCATAAAGCCAAACACAGATAAGTTTCTCGCTGGTGTGTGAAAAAGGGGGATCACTGAGAATTACTTGGACCTTAATATGGCTATTCTACCCTCTGGCATGACAGAGGACAAAGTGCATAGACAGCTCTGCGATCACTCCACCTGTCAGTGGAATGTATTTCATCCATCCTACTGTAAAACACAGTGCATTATGGTCATCATGCTAATGAATCAACATTCCTGGTCATAGAGGAAAGAGGAAAGAAAGAGGAGTCGTGGTCAACATGAGAAGGCATTAAGTTTCAAGGCTAGCAGGGAGATAGAAAAGGTCAAGCCTGTATCATTATCAGTACATCCATCGCCCATCTGAAATACAAAGGAGGCCTGAGAGAGGAAGAGAAATTGATGAAGAGGTCAGAGGTCAAACGGATAATGGATTATTTTTCTCCTGGTTTTGCCCTGCAGAAACGTGCAGCAAACATCTACGACAAAGCAAATAACAAAGAAAATAATGATAAAAGCCTTGATTGTAATGAAGAAAGAGTAATGATAATTATGGTGATCAAAAGAGGTTTTGTTGCCCACAGTAGAAAACCTCAGGCACATTGTGACATCTTGGAAAGCACAGGCATAAACTACTCCCCTTTAGAAACGGTAAAACACTGTCAGTTGTGGGATGAAAAAAAAAAATCATGCTCAGTCACTTTCTCACTCTCTTTTTGTTTTGTTTTTTCTTACACACCCACTGAACTTTGTTCTGCAGGGAAAGAAGGCAAAATACAAGCACATAATATACATAATTCACATGCACACTCAAAACTATGCAGACGTACGCAATCAAAAGTTATATTCATATGGAATTTGAATCCAAAATGTGGATCCAGATGCACAAACACACACAAAAAGAGGCCTCAATAATTAAAGCTTCAGTTGGTCCTGGAGAGCGGAGGAGTTTGTTTCAACTCCCGAGCTGCCTCACTGGTATCACAGTGTACAGTTCTGTAGCTGTAACAGCACCGTATGTCGTCGGGACCAGAGTGGCTTGGCCATGCTGATCATAATGTGGACATACAGTAGAGAAGATGATCAATACTCTGATGTATTGCTTCTATTTGATCGTACGGTACTTTCGCTGTCATGCTGTATATCATAACACTCTTTGAGAATACCTCTGACAGGGAAAAGGTTAACAGTCATATACATTTCTAGAAAAGAAAAGGATCATTACACCTGCTTGCATATTCCTGTCTTCAGGACATCATGGCGACATTTTGACTTGGTTTCAGAAGACAACTTAAAGGCAGCAACATCCCACTCACTTATTAGTCTTCTGTATGATTACACATGCTACACATACACTCAACATACTGCCCACATGTGACACAGAGACATGATTTGACTCATTATTCAGTCCATTAGGCATACAGAGATGTAAGCTCTGCTTATAGAGATGACAGTCTGTGGCTTATGTCTCTTTCCTCTGGTTCCTTGACCACTGTGGTCCATTTTGTACCATTACACAACGGAAAAAGTCACTTAAATGCTGCATGAGATTAGCAAACCTCCCTTTCTGCTAAGCACAAAAAAGCAGATTAAAAAAGAGGCAACAAACCATAGAACATTTATGCGTTAATAGGGTTGGTCTATAAAAATACATACTGTAGCTACTGTATAAAGAACAGCCTCACAGGCCTTTGAGGTTTTTCTTGATGGAGGGAGAGGGTGGGCAGCATGTGCAGCCGGTGACCCTCTGAAAGCAGGGGAGCAAGGGGGCAGTTCGGGGCTACAGCCGGGGTTATAGTCTCTCTTGTCCCTAGTGGATGGGGTTAATGTCTGTGCGGTGGTTGGCTTGCCCGTGCACACTGCTGCCCCCTACAGTCGTAGTGGAGGTGGTGATGGTGTTGTGCTGAATGACCTGCTGCTGCGAACACGCTGGCACTGGACTTCCTGCTGGACTGCTCTCTGGACCTGAGGACACAGCAGAGACATCACTCAGGATGGAAAACATGTGTATAGTATGTGTGTGTGTAAGTGCAAATTCTATGACCATCAAAGTATCATAAATATAATGTGAAAGTAAAATTCACCAAATAAACACAAACCAAATCTTGTTATTGTAAAGAGACAGCTTTATTAGCAGAAAAAAATAAATTTCAAACAAATGATACACTAGATTCACACCTAACTTCTCACCTGTTATCCCAAAATAGGCCATGAATGGATAACACAAAAATGGAAAAGTGAATCACTCAACTCCGTAAACACGCCTGATGAATTTTGGACACACTGAAGGTGGCATCTGTACACAAGCTAGACTCATCGATGAAAGTCTCCCAGCCCAGTCTGGGAGTTGGCTCTCTCCTGTATAAAAGAACCATTCAGCCAAAGGGGATGTGAGACTTATTTTCCTGTGCTAAAGCCACACAGGGAGGTGCCTTATCCTAATTGCATGGAAATGTCACTTGTATCCATATCAAAGGGTGGGACTCTGATGTCATGCACGGCTGAGGCACAGTCCAATAATCATTTAGATCCTGGGGCATCCATGAGAGGTTGGATGCCAACGTGCAGCCTGTGACGTCTTTCTCACGTTGTGTCTCGGCTGCCTCTGTGCACTGAGGTGCTGTCAGATGGAAAAATAGGTCTCATATGGGATTCAGACTAACTCCCAGCCCAGGCGGGCTACCAGAGTTTGCAACACCCACATGTCAAAGGAAGAGTCCTGCAGTGAGCGTGGGAGCTGGATACCAGCACATAGGAGCGAAGAGTTTTGGCAGTTACTGTGTGTCCATCACAGTTTGGTCTACAGAGTTCATAGCTTTCCTCTGGCAAGACAATCATATCTGCGCCATAGTGCTAAGGCACACAGATGAAGGTGCGTTTTTGGACAAATTCCCAAATGTGTGTGTGTCTGTGTTTATGTTTGAGCTACTCACTGAGGTAACCTTGGGACTCTTTCTGCATAGTGGTGATGGGACAGTCCTTGTGTGTGAGGAGGAGCTGCTTGAGTTGGGTCACCTCGTTCTTTAGCATGGTCACTTCATTCTGAAAAACATAGGCATTTTAAGACTATCATCCTGGGAATGCATAATTAAAGCAGGCTAAACTAAATAAATACAACTATTATCAGTCTCTCTCTCAAATTAAATCGAAGGCAACTGGACTTGTATTTGACAAAAACAAATACAAGTCCAGTTGCCTTCGATTTAATTTGAGAGAGAGATAATTATGGCCTGGACGAATGAGAACATTCACAGACCAACTATTATCAGTGTATTAATAACTAAGAGTATATTTCCAATATGTGTTCATCAGGGTTATTTTATATTTCGGATTGGGATTACGAATTTCTGAAAACCTTTGTTACCAATTTTGGACATTCAGTTGCATTATGGGAATTGTAGGATCCAGTGTTTTTGGAGCTTGACTCATACTCGGGACTGAAGTCAGGATATCACAACCTGCTGCTTGATTTCTACCATTCATTCACATCAGTTTCTTGTAGGTTCTCCAACTTAATGGAAGTACAATGCTGAATGCTGGGAACCCCCTTAACGTAACTCACAAACATTCTGCAATATTTCACTAATTACATGTTTATCAAACAAGATTTCAGATGTTTTTTTTGGGTCAGACCAACACTGACAACATACAACTAATCTTCTCATTATTGCTCTTATACTCAAACTCATACCATGCTGCCTGTAGTGAGTGGCAGTGGGTGCCGTGTGCAGATTTACAACCACAGATTTATTAGTTTGTACCTGAAGTTGCATGTTGGTCTGAGTGAGCTCTTCTGCTTTCTTCTCTAACGACATCACCCACACTTTTCTCTTCTGTCTGCATCTTGTTGCTGCTGCCCTGTTCCGCTCCAGAAACTTCCGCCGACGTTCGTCCGGATCCTCGTCCACTACTCGCCTACGCCGGCCGCCACTGGGGGGCGGAGACTGCAGCGTCTGTGTGGGCTGCATCTGCTGGGTTGCAGGTGACATCTGAAACACGGCGAAAGAGCATCACTGAGCATCACTGAGCATCACTGAGCTCTTTGATGAGACACCTGCGACCATCCAACCAGACATGTAACTATTCTGACATACCTGGAAAACAGCCAGTCACCTGTCTGCTTTCACCACTAAACAAGCATCTATACATTACCTCCTGCAGCTATTCCATGTCTGGCAACTTCCCCAAAAACAACATCTGGTTGTGCCACGTGCCTTGTGAGCCAGGCTGTGGGCGTCAGGAGTGACTGAGTGAGTGACTGGGCTGATTCACCAGCCTGCCCACCTTGTTAAGGAGGTGTCAGGAGGCAGTTTTCCAACGCCCACTTCCACTCAGACTAACACCACCAGACACAGTCAAAAGGCTTGTTTCTAAAACTGAACATGCACTGACAGATCTTGACATATCCTTGGCAAGGTCAAGTGTTTTCAGTCTTCAGATCATTACCATTTTTATGAGAACCATGGAAAATACAAGCTGCTTTAATGGCCGCTGTGCATACAGAGTGTTGTTTTAATGCCTTAATGGTGCCTTTAGAACATACAGTGACTTGCAGTTCCTGATGTCAGACTGTCCTTCACCCAAAATGATTGGCATTGCATAGAGCGTTAGACAATGCTGGGACAAAGTGTCTCACATCATATTATTTTTAATGCTGTGACTTTAAAACTTTAAAACTTTCAATTAAAATTAAACCAAACATATTCACAGCTAAGATGTTCCAGCACTATTAGCCAAGGCTGTCTGTTCATCATCAGGACCAGCATGTATAAAACATCTTCTGCACCTGGAGCATGCGGTGGCCACATAATGGCAGCTTGGCAGTGCAGGAGGGTGTGGGGCGTAGTTTCCAAAAGACAGTCCTGAGAATTTTTTTTATAACACCCATTTTATGGCCTCTTCATGACCCTTTCCCTCCATGGCGGGCATCTGACACTGACCTGTAGCTGACCAACCTCAAAGGAAAAATTACCTTTAAGATGGTTGCCAGGAAACTACTTGGCTTTGTGGCTGCAGCAAGGGAAAATGTGTTTGTCCACTGACTTACTGTGTATTTGAAGCGTTATTACAGCTATACGTCTATACTAAACCACTAATAGCTGACTTCTACACTGCTCAAAGGGCTACTCAAGCACTGCCTTGCTTTAGTCATGGTACATATACAGTGGCTTCGAGCTATGTAAGAGGTTTTATTGTGCAGTATAGTTAATGTGTTATTGAACTTGTGGCTTTGCCTTTGGAGCATCTAAAAGCTTCTGCTCTCCTGGGGATGGGCTTTGCTTACCTGTGAAGCAGAGTGCATTGGAGGGTGCGGTGAGGTCTGGTGTGGGTGACCGGGATGGAGGTGGGGATTGTGGGAGTTGTGATGGGGGTTGTGTCCCTGCGGGTGGTGGTGTCCGGCCTGGCCGTGGCCCTGGTTGTGGTGGTGATGGCCGTGGTGCTGGTATGCGTGGGGAGGCGCTTGCAGGTGCTGGTGCGGGTGTGAGTGCATGTGATGGTGAGCGCCTTGCTCCTGCCGCGATGACATCATCTCCATCATGTGGCCCATGGAGTTCATGTTTCCGTTGGCGATGGCACCAGGGTGGTGTGAAAGTGCAGCCTTCAGCCTCTGAGTAAACAAAATGGACACCAAATATGACGTTTAACATTATTCTCTGTGAGTATTTTTTTTTAAGTTTGCGCTCTCATCTATCAGTGTTCTGATGATCAACAGTTACAGAGCAGGTTCATGCGCTGACTCTGAGATGATGAATGGCTCCATAAATCCACATGTCAGGAGAACGAATCAAAGCCACTTAGACTGTCCTCTGTCTCTCCTTCAGTCCTGTCATTTTCCCTCTTTACCTTCCATGATTGCCATTCCACCAGTCCCTCCTCTTCATATTCCCTAATAGCCCCTGTGTGTGTGTGCATGTGTGTGTGTGTGTGTGTATGTGTGAGTGTGTGCGTGTGGATGTCTGCCTATGAGATGAGCCCCCTGGCAATGTGTGAGCCTCAGACTGCTCCCTCACTGTTGACCCAGCAGGAGGTTTGTTGCTTTAACCGTGTGGTCTACTTAGCCCAGACTGACCTGATGTCTCTGAGTGGCCTGGGAGCGAGACCAGAAAGAGGCTCACTAAAGGTGCACTTGTGTTCTTCGTGTTTACTGAATGCACCTCTTCTCAAGAGTCTGTTTTTCTGGGAGTCACATAAAGACAACCGTGGGACTAGAAAAAAATCATAACCCAAACATACAAGTGCCAAAATATGCATTCAGCCTTCATCATGTCGTACACAAACCTAGACAAAATAAAATATGTCTGCACCCTTACATGACTTATTTACATTTTACCCGCTTTAGGAATGACAGGTTGTGAGAGTGTTAAGACTGTTAGACTTTGATTAATGCACATCTTTTTACCAATGACACACTGCTGATGTGAATTAATACTTGAGGAATAAAATACTAAAGTCTTAGATACTGTCTACAATTCATCTACGAGTCACTTTTCACAAAAAGTTAGCAGCAAAACTGAAAACAAAGGCATTCGTTTCAAGGCTACTGTTGTGAATTCCACAAAGTTTTCTATTCTCTTTCCCAGTGCTCTCTTTCCTCTCTCTGCTCCCTTCCCCCTTCTCCCAGCTGCTGTCAGTAAGTCCACGCTGTGTCCAGGGCTCCATATCTTTTAACAACCTTTACATTCATGATTCCCACAGGGAATGGCATCCAGCTGGTCTGGATCACAACGCTAGGACTCAACCAGAGCACAACATCAGCTCTCCACTCCTCTCTCACACTGTCCATGAGTGGAAAGCTTTTTACCAGGAGGGAGGAGTCAAATAAATAATTTTAGAAATGGGACACTTAAAAAAGAGCTTACTCTACTGGTTTGTATTATATTTAAAAAAATACATGTATGTATTCGTATAAGGATTTTCTGGCAGTGTGGTGTCTTTACTTGCTGCACATGAAACCAGCACAGTGAAATTATGACCTTGTCAAGCCTGTTTTGGCTGAATACAGTTTCTGCTTGTCATACCAACGGATGCCTGACAGAGTGACAGTGACAGAGCACTTCATTATTTTGTTTCTATCTGTCGGTCCCATATTATGAATCTTATTTTAAATTTGCTCTCTTAATGATTCAAACCCAACCCCTGCTCACTGCCTTCACCACAGCCTCAGCAGCACAACTCTCAGGGGCCACAGCCCTTCCTCTCTGTGACCAGTGAGACAGGAGTTAAAATACCACAGGGTCTACACTAACACACAGCGAGTGGCCTCAGGCCTGCAGCTGTCCACAGCATCACAGTTATGCTGAGACTTCCTGAGTATAACAAGCAGCAGTGAGAAGTCTCTGAATTACTGCAACATATTGTTACTATGAACCGTATACATGTTATAAGTTTTAGAGATGGATACCTGGACATAGTATAAAAATGCAGAAATAAACAGCTATCTGACATTCAACAAACAAACTTAAAACAGAAAATGGATATAAATGAGCTTACAGATATCAATCACCAGTGTTGACAAGGACATATTCCGTATATCACAGGATGAATTCTGAGTCTGACAGTACTCACTAAAGTCCTTCCCTTCAGCCTTCAACTTGTCAGTCAGCACCACAGAGGTGAGGCCCACCCCTCTTGTCAAGGAGAAAACCAATCAGGGTTTGACAATCTCCTGCCGCTCAGTCACAGAACAGGCAATCACCTGAACGAGCATAAGTCCTGGGAATCTGCTGGCTGCTGTCTGCTCTGTTTTTGTGACCTGAGTAAACCCTTGACTAGTTGTCTGTGTGCGGGTAAGATAGTCATCCGGGGCTGGAGCTGCCTGACAACCAGGCACCAGGGAAGAAGGACGGAGAGGGTAAAGGAAGGTGAAAGAGGGCAGTGAGAGAGAGAGAGAGAGAGAGAGAGAGAGAGAACATGGGTGAGGGGAGATTAGATGGCTTCTAGTGTCTCCTCCCCACACACCATCAGCCTAAGACAGCAAGTGCTCATTTATCAGTGTCTCTGAGAGCCATCCAGCTGGCAGCACGGGGCTATCTGTTTATTAATTGAATTAGCCTGCATCCGAAGAGGCCCGAGAGTGTCGGAGTACACAGGCAGGTCAAAGAGCTGAGGGGCCCCTACACAAGCCTTAGTGGTGATAGTTATAAACAGGACAGAGAAATGAAAAGAAACAAAAGAAAACAAAAGAAAACAAAAGAAAAACACTATGCATGACTAGAGGACTGACATAAAACACACATTTAAGATCAGGTTTTTTCAAACAAAATTTGATGCAACACATTGATATTTAAATTGTTGGACCAAGACAATATATCTCTAGCAAAACCCAAGAGACCCAAGATATAAAAGTAGATCCAGCAAGAAAATACAGCAGACTACTTGAATAATTGGAAGATATAATCTCCACATACACAAATCAAACAATACAGTTTAAATAATGAGCTACAGTACATTACCGTGATGCAAGCTTCTTCCTGAAGCTATCTGCACAAGTGCCTGCTACTGCTCCATCTGGAGTTGAGACACAGCTCAGTTAAACCCAGCTCGGCCAAAACTTAAGTCTTTGTATCCAGAACCACAGTGACGCAACTAAGGGACGTTAGCAAAGCGATGATGAGCAGGCTGTGATTCTCAAACACCTTCATCAGCTCCCTAATGACTCTTTAACACATGGTTGTATTTCCCCCAGACTGTGCTAAGCACAAGAACTTAATCACCATGTGCATTTTACTCTAATAACACACACATACATATACATTTCTCCTGCAGCAACATGGCCACCACAGAAAACAGTCATTAAAGCAGTGCAGGTGTTAGCCTGTGGCAGTACAGGACGCTCACAGATGGGTTGGCATAGTCTGTCCTTCCACTGTCTACTCTGCCGTTGGTGAAAACTGGAAAAACACAGCAAATACACAAGAGGATGAGTGCTCAATGACACCCCAGAGACGTGGACAGCTTCTTCCAGGATAAATCTATAAACGTTCAGCCTATATATCTGTAATCACATGCATTTGACACCACATATCATGCATTCTGACAGTGTTCTGAAGGTAGTAGAGCTATTGATTTTCCATTGTTAAAACACCATCCCTGATTCAGCCATATTTTGCCCAGAGGGGAAGTATCTCCTCTCAGACCTTTGCCCTGTGACCTATCCACTCCCACTCCTTTTTTTTTAGGCGTCTCTCATTTATGTGGTTTCAGGGATACCAGGTAATCACCCATTAATGATATTTATTAATGGCCGCTTCCTCTCTGACACGGGGGGCTTTGAGTGATGTCCCAGTGAGTGCTCTGGGCACATCCTGAGAACACACTCAGGTTTCTCCTCGCCAGATGACTTCATATCTATTAACCCTGGGAGGAGAAAGCAAGAGCACGGAGCAGGTACAAAGGGAAGAGACCACGCCCGTCTAAGGATGGGTAAATCAAACCCTGTGAGGTCAGGGTGAGCACTTTTATGCCCCTTAAAAGTGGAGCAGTGTACTATCAGGGGACCTGTGTCCCTCTGGCGCCTTACAGCAAGTTGGAAAGATTTAACCAGTCTGTGGAGTCATAGTTTAAGTGCAAAAAGATCACAGCTTCAAATGGAGATCTTCTACTTCACATTAAAGAGCCCACAGAGAAACATTAGAGCTTCTGTCTGTTTCTGTCAGCCTTTTGTTAACACTATACTAGCACAGCAGCATGTTCAGTGATCATGTGTATGTGCACGGTATTTCTAATTGCATAATATATCATAGCTGTAACTTTCCTGGCAGTGTATTTTGTAGGCCTAGGCCCCCTAACTCACGCTCTAAACCCAACATGGGTTCACCATCTGCAGTTGAAAGCAAGAGTTTGGCTCCGCTGCTTTGCCAAGAAGTCAGAGGATCTAATTCCATCCTCCTCATCTCCACAACCACCACTACCCACCAGTGCCTGCCTGCAAAACCCACTCTCTGTCCCCTAAAACTCCACACCCCCATTAGTTCAATTTTATTAGATTTCCCTCTCGCCCAGAGAGGCAGTAACACCCCCCGCCCCTTCTCTCTCTCACACACACACCTCTTCCCTGTTCCTCCACCCCCTCTCCCTCTGCCTGCCAAGAGCTGGGGACTGTTAAACTGATTTCCTCAGGGAACAGCAAGGCAGACAGTCTGATGGGAGCGCTGGGCTGTACTGTCGCCCCCTCTCTCCTCTCTCGAGTTCTGGGCCAAGCTGATCAGAGCCCGGCCGAACAGAGCCTCCCTGTGGTTCCAGACACAGACGGGGAGATGGACATAGACTAGCTGTTCTGCCAGGGCCAGACGCTCTGGTGGTGCTCGGAGAAACTGTGGCGGTATGGGCGCAGTGAGACACACGCCCACTGAGGAGCATGCTCCAAAGCATGCGCTCATACTCTTGGCAGCTTCTCCACCCTGTCAAGTTAATGGATGGGCCTCTGACTCCAGTCTGTATATCCCCACTGTTCCCTCTCTTGTAAAGCCCTGCTCTAGAGCAGCCTACATGGTTATCACTACACCCACTGCCACAGTGTTGAATACAGAGAATGCCTCAGAGTGAGAAAGACAGACAAAGCATGAATGCAACAATAAACACTACCATGTGTCTTAATTTGTTGCATCA